TGTTTTTTTATTCTAGATACAACGTCACTTGGCAGACATTTTTTCCCTGGCCTATTGTTTGTTTTTTTAACTTTGTTTTTGGTATCTTAAGTGGTACAATATTTTTCACTTTAATTATCAATTTTTAAAAAATATTTTGTTTTCCATGCCTTAAATTTTTTCCTTTTGTTTATGTTTTTTATAAAGCTAATTTTACTTACATTCCATAATTTAAAGTTTTACTTGCTCACACTTAGGAATTGAATATTTCTGGAGATTAAGTTTGTGGTATGGATTAAGGCAGGTGTCAAATTATCTTTTATTCACCAGAGAAAGTCTGTTGCCACATCATTATTTACTGTGTTTTCTTCGCTGCTTACTAATACATCCTCTCTTTGTACAAGAATCCACAGGTCTAGGTCTTTGTCTGAGCGATTACCCTGACATATTATAGCTGCATTAACATTACACAGCCTTAAACAAAAGATGATATTTTAAAAGGCCTATTTGTTTCTGAGGGAGGTACATTCAATTTACAACTTTTTCCCCTTATAACTGTCACTTTGTTTTATAAACTTCTAAGATACTTTGTCAAGAATGTACGTAGGTTCATAATTATAATATCTTGCTAGTCAAGCTGCTCAGATTTTATAAAGTTTCATTGTACTTTTTAAGCATCTTTTTTGCATTTTTTGTTTGTAGAGGGAATGATTTATTTAATAAGGCTCTTCTAGCCAAATTTTCTTTTCTTTTTTTTTTTTGTATAGCCAAATTTCTAACTCCCACCAAACAATCTTTCCCTGCATGAGTCTGGGAAGAAGGTTGGGGAAGATGCTGATAGGATTCTCCTGTGAGTACTTGCAAACAGGACTCCTTGGAGTGCCATCCTGCAGTTTATAAGCCCTGTGAAAGAAAAAGTTGGGAATCTCATTACCAGCAAGAGCCAAGAGTGGAGCAGGGCTTGTGGACTCAAGATTCCTGCACAGTGAATGAACCTCCTGGATCCCGAAGAACACTAGAACATCAGAGGACCAGCAGTAGAACCAGGAGGCAAGCACTGAACAGAGGGATAAACTTCCCAACCCATGGAGCAAATAAAGCTGGGGGCTTTGGTGTAGGTAGCGGCCTTGTGGAGTGCGGTGCGTCTGGGCACTTGATTCAGGGGGCTGGGTTTGCCGACCCACAGAAGATGAGCTGAATGACTGACAGTGGGGTGGTATGTCCCTTTGTGCAATTCTTATTAGACCTGAAGAGCTCTGTAACATGCCCTGATCACAACTCAACCTTGAGCATTCCCCATTGGCATTACAATGGATATTAGAGCCTTGCAATCAAGTTGTTCATATAATTGTTTTTATAATGCTTCCCTGTACTTTTTTTTGCATGATTTGTTCAACTTCTCTGCATTTTAAGTATGTCTCTTAAGAGCACTACATAGAGTAAAGGGATTAAAGAGGGATTAGTAATTATCAGGGTCAGGTGGGAGGGAGGAGAAAAGAAAGATACCCTGTTTAGGAAACACTGAGCTTTAAAACCTAACCAAACTCATTGCCATCGAGTCAATGGTAACTCTTGATGAGACTCTTATCTCTCAGGTTCCTTAATCACTCTTTCATTCTTTTTTTTTTTAATCATTTTATTAGGGCCTCATACAACTCTTACCACAATCCATACATCCATCGTGTCAAGCACATTTGTACATTTGTTGCCATCATCATTTTCAAAACATTTTCTTTCTACTTTAGCCCTTGGTATCAGCTCCTCATTTTTTTCTCACTCTCATTCTTGTAATTGTTTATTCCCAGTCATCAGTTCTCTTCTCAATCGTGTATAGGCTAGATTTTATCTGTCCATTAAATGTTTTCCTTTTAATACAGCTTTTTCATTTCTGGAACTTTTACTTGGTGTCCTTTCATATTTTATGTTTTGCTTCATATATTCCATGTTTCCTTTCTTGATATTTATGAGAACCATAAACACAATTATTTTGAAGTATCTCCAAATTGTTCTATTGTGACTTGTAATAACTATTTCCTAAAAATTGATTTTGTCTGTGGAGCTAAGTCGTGTTGCTGTTCCTCAAGCATACTGGGACTCTTCATCTGCAGCCTTATCTTGACTGGATGATGGGGTTGCTTTAAACTTCTGTCCTCACCCCTTCCTTCCATGCTATGCAGTTCTACCACCTTGCTTCCTCCATACAGCTTTTAGAGTTCAGAAACCTGTTTCTCTCGGTTCAGTGAGCTATCTTCATGAAATACATAACTCATTTTCAGCTTTGCTCTGGTCCTGCTTGTGATGCACTCTGCTGCTTTTAGTTGTCCAAGGCATGCACCTTCGTATAAGCTTCAACTCTCAAGAGACCAAAGCAATTCTCCCCAACCCCACTGCCACCACCCGCAAAGCTCGGAAACCCTCACCTCACCACGTCCCTGATTTTGAGCACATTTGCCATTTTTAGAGCCTACTCCCCTTCAGGATTTAAGCTCTCAGCCACTTTCAGATGCTTCTGAGACCAGAAGCCAAAAGGTTCACCATATCAACTCCACTTGTTGGTTTTTCAATTCCATTTCTAACAGGGCTATTTTTCCCCCTAAGCTGATTTATTATAAAAAATGCAAACACATTACATTAGAAAATTGATAGTCCAAAATGAACCTTCATATTTCTACCTTCTAGTTTCAATATTTACCATTTTTTTTCTTTTTCACATGACTTCCATTTAGAGCTTACTTCGATTGCTCCGAGGCCAATGATTTTTGGTTTCCTTGTTTGATATGTTATGTCTGGCTGTCCACAGTGGCAGCTCTCACTGCCATTGAGTTGCCTCCCGCTCACAGAGACCCGGGAGGTCAGAGTAGAACTGCCCCTGTGGGTGTCTGAGATTGTGGGCTTCTTGCTTCACATAGAAAGAAAGCCTCAAATGAGGACCGGATGCCGGGGGCTTAAGTGGAGAGGAAATGTTTCGAGAATGATGAAGGCAATGAATGTACAAATGCGCTTTACACGATTGATGTATGTATGGATTGTGATAAGAGTTGTATGAGCCCCTAATAAAACGATTTTTAAAAAAAAGAAAGAAAGAAAGCCTCGTCTTTCGCCCTCTGAAGGGCTGGTGGTTTGGGATGGCTGACCTTGCAGTTGGCAGCCCCCGGGTATAGCCCACTATGCCACCAGGGGGTGGCAGAAGTTCTGATCCCAGGACTTACTATGATTTCACTTTTAAAATCCATCTTTATTCTAACAGCCCACTGTTACTAAAAAAAAAAAAAGCCAAACGACAGCTACTCTGTGTCATTGAGTCAGCTCCATGCACAGCGGCCGTGGAGGGAGGGGAGGACTGCCTGCCTGCCACACGGGGATTCCAAGGAAAGATGTAAGGAATCAGATCAACCGCCGCCTCCCATGGAGCCCTTGGTGGATTAGGACCACTGCCGCTTCTGTTCCAACCAAGCTCTTACCACTGGGCCCCTAGTGCTCCTCCAGGGGGTGCAGGCCCCTGCATCGCAAACGTTGAACTCTAGTACCGCATTCTGCCTTAACGTAAACCACAAATCAGACACGATGGGGACACGAATACCAATATCAAATCCCCAGGGCTTTGGCCTGTTTATAAAGACACTTACAGTAGTAGATGATTTTTGAGGCCATCTGTTCAGAGACACTTTGAAGTACATTTTATTTAGAATGCACCTACACATATGTGAATGGGAACCATAACAGCAATACTTTGGACTTATCCTCATGTATATAAATATGCATTTAAAGACATTCATAAATATTTTCTTTGAGCCTCAGTCTATCTAGCATAGTTATTTGTATTAGCATCATCTCACAGACGACAAATTTAGGTTCAAAATGGTACATGTATATACTGTATTTTTAAAACTAATAACATGTAATAATTTATGCAGATGCATTACATGTGAACAATATGGTAGCTCAGTAGTGGTTCATTAAACTAATGTACAAAGGACAGAACAGTATATTTCAGTTAGAGGAAGATTTACCATTGCTACCTAGCAGCAAAGGAGCCTGTAGCAGTAGTTAAAGTGCTTGTATGCAACACAAAAGGTGAGCAGTTCAAACCCACCTGCTCTGCAGGAGAAAGGTGTGGCAGTCAGCATCCATATTTATAGCCTCGGACCCCCGATGGAGCAGTTCTCCTCTGTCCTCAAGGGCAGCTATGAGTCAAAATTGACCTTACAGCATGGGTTTTTGGGTACTTAGTAATAACAAACTAGAAAATATGTACATAATCTCAGAGAAAGTTATATTCTGAAAGAGTATGTACTGTATATACTCATGTATAAGCTGAGTTTTTCAGCACATTTTTATAAATTAATTTATTTTTAAATCCTTTTATTGGGGGCTCATACAGTTCTTATGACAATCCATACATCCATCCATTGTGTCAAGCACATTTGTACATTTGCTGCCCTCATCATTCTCAAATTTTATGCAGTTTTTGTGGTAAAATTAGGTGCCTTGACTGATATTCAGGTCAGCTTTTACTCAAGAATATATGGTATACTTTTTGTTAGAAAGGATTAATTTTAAAGCCTCAAGGGAAAACTCTGAAGCATCTAAATTAATTTCAAACATTAAAAAAATGTTCACCAAATAATATTTAAAATACTTAAACAGTTGGGATCTTCCTGGCTCCTCTTTTAAGAATTTACATTATAAATGACAGCAGCAACCACGAAGTAAAATAAAAACAAATATAAAAATTCAACCCAAAGTCCAACCAACCACAGCATGCCTCAAATGACATGCTTTTGTGCCATGAAGACGAAGGCACAGGAATTGCAGGGTAAGAGTTCATGTGACAGGTCATGTGAAAAATGCTACTGGTTGCCACTGGGGCCGAGCCGACGGACAGTGAGCCGACAGGGCGGGGTAGGAATGGCCCTGTGGGTCTCCCAGACTACAACTTCACCAGAGTAGAAAGCCATCCCCTTCTCACGCAGAGCATTTAGTGATTCCAACCTGCCGAGCTCAGCAGCGCCATTCCTTACCTCTTGACTTTATCATAGTTCTCTTGACGGTAATCGCCTTGCTGGATTAACTGCTTTGTGTCTGCTAATTCTAAGGCCAAACGCTGACATCGGTTTTGAAGCTCTGAACAGTTTCTTCGCTCTTCTTCATGTATCTATAAATTAAAAGAGTATTTATTTATTTCAAATATTTCAAACTAAATATAGTTGAACAAATTCTATGTTGAATTCATCTGTCAAGCAGTACAAACAAAAAAATCCAACAACAAATTTTCACTGTTCTGTTAGTACTTTTTCTTTTTTTTTTACATTTTTCTTATGTACATAGGTAATAATTTAAAAAAAAATTTATATCACAGAATAA